GACTGAAACGAAACCAGGTACCGAATCTTCGGACCTCGCACATGTAGATCAGATTGTAAAGGCTGTCACACTTCAGTGAAGATGAACACAGCAGCTTGCATGTCTTCTCATTGAAGTTCTGGTCAGATGGAGCATCATCCATCAATTCCCGTCTCTTTGTTCATTTGCAGGCGTACTTTGTGAGCGAGAGCCAGGGTGCTCCTTTCTGGATGACCCAACCCAATAATCGTGGATAATCGTCCAAAGAAATGGAACCAACACTGGACGCTTTCGAGCTGCCCAGTCCCGTCCTGACCCAGTCGGGTACAGTAGCAGCGTGTGACCGGCATGCCTCCGCCCGGTGATTGATCCGGGGACCTTCTGTTTACAAGACAGATGCTCTACCACTGAGCCACGCAGGCTCGACTTGGTCGACGACCACCACATTTTTCGACGGCAAAAAGCACCGATACTGGCGGTCAAGACCACTCCTATGCAAACGCATCAACACGACAGACATATCCCGCACGTCCTCTCCACGTGCATGCCGCCGAATGGACAATCTACTCCTGGCCGACTCGCAAAAGACTCCTGAGTAAAGTCTTTTGTGATTCAGACTGAAACGAAACCAGGTACCGAATCTTCGGACCTCGCACATGTAGATCAGATTGTAAAGGCTGTCACACTTCAGTGAAGATGAACACAGCAGCTTGCATGTCTTCTCATTGAAGTTCTGGTCAGATGGAGTATCATCCATCAATTCCCGTCTCTTTGTTCATTTGCAGGCGTACTTTGTGAGCGAGAGCCAGGGTGCTCCTTTCTGGATGACCCAACCCAATAATCGTGGATAATCGTCCAAAAAAAGAAATGGAACCAACACTAGGCGCTTTCGAGCTGCCCAGTCCCGTCCTGACCCAGTCGGGTACAGTAGCAGCGTGTGACCGGCATGCCTCCGCCCGGGATTGATCCGGGGACCTTCTGTTTACAAGACAGATGCTCTACCACTGAGCCACGCAGGCTCGACTTGGTCGACGACCACCACATTTTTCGACGGCAAAAAGCACCGATACTGGCGGTCAAGACCACTCCTATGCAAACGCATCAACACGACAGACATATCCCGCACGTCCTCTCCACGTGCATGCCGCCGAATGGACAATCTACGCCTGGCCGACTCGCAAAAGACTCCTGAGTAAAGTCTTTTGTGATTCAGACTGAAACGAAACCAGGTACCGAATCTTCAGACCTCGCACATGTAGATCAGATTGTAAAGGCTGTCACACTTCAGTGAAGATGAACACAGCAGCTTGCATGTCTTCTCATTGAAGTTCTGGTCAGATGGAGTATCATCCATCAATTCCCGTCTCTTTGTTCATTTGCAGATGCACTTTGTGAGCGAAAGCCAGGGTGCTTCTTTCTGGATGACCCAACCCAATAATCGTGGACAATCGTCCAAAGAAATGGAACCAACACTGGACGCTTTCGAGCTGCCCAGTCCCGTCCTGACCCAGTCGGGTACAGTAGCAGCGTGTGACCGGCATGCCTCCGCCCGGGATTGATCCGGGGACCTTCTGTTTACAAGACAGATGCTCTACCCACTGAGCCACGCAGGCTCGGCTTGGTCGTCGACCACCACATTTTTCGACGGCAAAAAGCACCGATACTGGCGGTCAAGACCACTCCTATGCAAACGCATCAACACGACAGACATATCCCGCACGTCCTCTCCACGTGCATGCCGCCGAATGGACAATCTACTCCTGGCCGACTCGCAAAAGACTCCTGAGTAAAGTCTTTTGTGATTCAGACTGAAACGAAACCAGGTACCGAATCTTCGGACCTCGCACATGTAGATCAGATTGTAAAGGCTGTCACACTTCAGTGAAGATGAACACAGCAGCTTGCATGTCTTCTCATTGAAGTTCTGGTCAGATGGAGTATCATCCATCAATTCCCGTCTCTTTATTCATTTGCAGGCGTACTTTGTGAGCGAAAGCCAGGGGTGCTCCTTTCTTGATGACCCAACCCAATAATCGTGGACAATCGTCCAAAAGAAATGGAACCAACACTGGACGCTTTCGAGCTGCCCAGTCCCGTCCTGGACCAGTCGGGTACAGTAGCAGCGTGTGACCGGCATGCCTCCGCCCGGGATTGATCCGGGGACCTTCTGTTTACAAGACAGATGCTCTACCACTGAGCCACGCAGGCTCGACTTGGTCGTCGACCACCACATTTTTCGACGGCAAAAAGCACCGATACTGGCGGTCAAGACCACTCCTATGCAAACGCATCAACACGACAGACATATCCCGCACGTCCTCTCCACGTGCATGCCGCCGAATGGACAATCTACTCCTGGCCGACTCGCAAAAGACTCCTGAGTAAAGTCTTTTGTGATTCAGACTGAAACGAAACCAGGTACCGAATCTTCGGACCTCGCACATGTAGATCAGATTGTAAAGGCTGTCACACTTCAGTGAAGATGAACACAGCAGCTTGCATGTCTTCTCATTGAAGTTCTGGTCAGATGGAGTATCATCCATCAATTCCCGTCTCTTTAATCATTTGCAGGCGCATTTGTGAGCGAAAGCCGGGGTGCTCCTTTCTGGATGACCCAACCCAATAGTCGTGGATAATCGTCCAAAAAAGAAATGGAACCAACACTAGGCGCTTTCGAGCTGCCCAGTCCCGTCCTGACCCAGTCGGGTACAGTAGCAGCGTGTGACCGGCATGCCTCCGCCCGGGATTGATCCGGGGACCTTCTGTTTACAAGACAGATGCTCTACCACTGAGCCACGCAGGCTCGACTTGGTCGACGACCACCACATTTTTCGACGGCAAAAAGCACCGATACTGGCGGTCAAGACCACTCCTATGCAAACGCATCAACACGACAGACATATCCCGCACGTCCTCTCCACGTGCATGCCGCCGAATGGACAATCTACTCCTGGCCGACTCGCAAAAGACTCCTGAGTAAAGTCTTTTGTGATTCAGACTGAAACGAAACCAGGTACCGAATCTTCGGACCTCGCACATGTAGATCAGATTGTAAAGGCTGTCACACTTCAGTGAAGATGAACACAGCAGCTTGCATGTCTTCTCATTGAAGTTCTGGTCAGATGGAGTATCATCCATCAATTCCCGTCTCTTTAATCATTTGCAGGCGTACTTTGTGAGCGAAAGCCAGGGTGCTCCTTTCTGGATGACCCAACCCAATAATCGTGGATAATCGTCCAAAAGAAATGGAACCAACACTGGACGCTTTCGAGCTGCCCAGTCCCGTCCTGACCCAGTCGGGTACAGTAGCAGCGTGTGACCGGCATGCCTCCGCCCGGGATTGATCCGGGGACCTTCTGTTTACAAGACAGATGCTCTACCACTGAGCCACGCAGGCTCGACTTGGTCGACGACCACCACATTTTTCGACGGCAAAAAGCACCGATACTGGCGGTCAAGACCACTCCTATGCAAACGCATCAACACGACAGACATATCCCGCACGTCCTCTCCACGTGCATGCCGCCGAATGGACAATCTACGCCTGGCCGACTCGCAAAAGACTCCTGAGTAAAGTCTTTTGTGATTCAGACTGAAACGAAACCAGGTACCGAATCTTCGGACCTCGCACATGTAGATCAGATTGTAAAGGCTGTCACACTTCAGTGAAGATGAACACAGCAGCTTGCATGTCTTCTCATTGAAGTTCTGGTCAGATGGAGTATCATCCATCAATTCCCGTCTCTTTGTTCATTTGCAGGCGTACTTTGTGAGCGAAAGCCAGGGTGCTCCTTTCTGGATGACCCAACCCAATAATCGTGGATAATCGTCCAAAAAGAAATGGAACCAACACTGGACGCTTTCGAGCTGCCCAGTCCCGTCCTGACCCAGTCGGGTACAGTAGCAGCGTGTGACCGGCATGCCTCCGCCCGGGATTGATCCGGGGACCTTCTGTTTACAAGACAGATGCTCTACCACTGAGCCACGCAGGCTCGGCTTGGTCGTCGACCACCACATTTTTCGACGGCAAAAAGCACCGATACTGGCGGTCAAGACCACTCCTATGCAAACGCATCAACACGACAGACATATCCCGCACGTCCTCTCCACGTGCATGCCGCCGAATGGACAATCTACTCCTGGCCGACTCGCAAAAGACTCCTGAGTAAAGTCTCTTTGTGATTCAGACTGAAACGAAAACCAGGTACCGAATCTTCGGACCTCGCACATGTAGATCAGATTGTAAAGGCTGTCACACTTCAGTGAAGATGAACACAGCAGCTTGCATGTCTTCTCATTGAAGTTCTGGTCAGATGGAGTATCATCCATCAATTCCCGTCTCTTTGTTCATTTGCTGGCGTACTGGGGAGGCGTGCTCCTTTCCTGGATGACCCAACCCAATAATCGTGGACAATCGTCCAAAAGAAATGGAACCAACACTGGACGCTTTCGAGCTGCCCAGTCCCGTCCTGGACCAGTCGGGTACAGTAGCAGCGTGTGACCGGCATGCCTCCGCCCGGGATTGATCCGGGGACCTTCTGTTTACAAGACAGATGCTCTACCACTGAGCCACGCAGGCTCGACTTGGTCGACGACCACCACATTTTTCGACGGCAAAAAGCACCGATACTGGCGGTCAAGACCACTCCTATGCAAACGCATCAACACGACAGACATATCCCGCACGTCCTCTCCACGTGCATGCCGCCGAATGGACAATCTACTCCTGGCCGACTCGCAAAAGACTCCTGAGTAAAGTCTTTTGTGATTCAGACTGAAACGAAACCAGGTACCGAATCTTCGGACCTCGCACATGTAGATCAGATTGTAAAGGCTGTCACACTTCAGTGAAGATGAACACAGCAGCTTGCATGTCTTCTCATTGAAGTTCTGGTCAGATGGAGTATCATCCATCAATTCCCGTCTCTTTGTTCATTTGCAGGCGTACTTTGTGAGCGAAAGCCAGGGTGCTCCTTTCTGGATGACCCAACCCAATAATCGTGTATAATCGTCCAAAAGAAATGGAACCAACACTGGACGCTTTCGAGCTGCCCAGTCCCGTCCTGGACCAGTCGGGTACAGTAGCAGCGTGTGACCGGCATGCCTCCGCCCGTGATTGATCCGGGGACCTTCTGTTTACAAGACAGATGCTCTACCACTGAGCCACGCAGGCTCGGCTTTGTCGTCGACCGCCACATTTTTCGACGGCAAAAAGCACCGATACTGGCGGTCAAGACCACTCCTATGCAAACGCATCAACACGACAGACATATCCCGCACGTCCTCTCCACGTGCATGCCGCCGAATGGACAATCTACGCCTGGCCGACTCGCAAAAGACTCCTGAGTAAAGTCTTTTGTGATTCAGACTGAAACGAAACCAGGTACCGAATCTTCGGACCTCGCACATGTAGATCAGATTGTAAAGGCTGTCACACTTCAGTGAAGATGAACACAGCAGCTTGCATGTCTTCTCATTGAAGTTCTGGTCAGATGGAGTATCATCCATCAATTCCCGTCTCTTTGTTCATTTGCAGGCGTACTTTGTGAGCGAAAGCCAGGGTGCTCCTTTCTGGATGACCCAACCCAATAATCGTGGATAATCGTCCAAAAGAAATGGAACCAACACTGGACGCTTTCGAGCTGCCCAGTCCCGTCCTGGACCAGTCGGGTACAGTAGCAGCGTGTGACCGGCATGCCTCCGCCCGGGATTGATCCGGGGACCTTCTGTTTACAAGACAGATGCTCTACCACTGAGCCACGCAGGCTCGACTTGGTCGACGACCACCACATTTTTCGACGGCAAAAAGCACCGATACTGGCGGTCAAGACCACTCCTATGCAAACGCATCAACACGACAGACATATCCCGCACGTCCTCTCCACGTGCATGCCGCCGAATGGACAATCTACTCCTGGCCGACTCGCAAAAGACTCCTGAGTAAAGTCTTTTGTGATTCAGACTGAAACGAAACCAGGTACCGAATCTTCGGACCTTGCACATGTAGATCAGGTTGTAAAGGCTGTCACACTTCAGTGAAGATGAACACAGCAGCTTGCATGTCTTCTCATTGAAGTTCTGGTCAGATGGAGTATCATCCATTAATTCCCGTCTCTTTAATCATTTGTGTTAGAATTAACTAGGTTGTGGAGCTGATGCTGAGAAGAAGATGGCTTACGGCCGGGGATGAAAACCGAAAAGTGAGTTGTATTCAAATTGTTCCTAGCTTCGAAAACGAATGGCTAGTAGTAGCCGGTGACTCTCAGCCACCTATTTCGTGCCCTGTCTCCACCGCTTTCTGTTTTACCTATCACTGGGTAATTACGTCTCGTAAATACCTTTCGTAAAAACTCTGCTGTGTCATATGCTGAATGAAAACGATTGCGTGGGTGGGGGACGTAACTGCGGGCGGGTCACAGTTCTGGTGAATCCCAAACACCAGGTCGTGAGTGTCAATCACATTTAACTTGAACACGGCGGGGGTCGGACCCGCACTCACCCGCGTGGAATCCCCCTTCCAACCGACTGAGCCAATCCGATGACTTGTCGTTTCGCTAACATCCCACAATATAAACCTGCCAAAGAACAATACAACTAATGCAAATATGCAATATACACCCTGCACAAGTCGCCGCATCATCACTCGCTAACACTCTCCCTTGATGTGCGTGCGACGTGTGACCCCTACACCGCCATGCACAGACCCGTGATGAACTTGCTGTGCTTGTCTCTTGGAAGTGCTTTGGTGAATCCATCCGCGACCATTTCTTCTGTCGGCTTGAACTCTAGCGCGATCACTGCACTTGCAACCTTTTCACGCAAAAAGTGAAACTTGATGTCGATGTGCTTCGTGCGCGAGTGGTACACAGGATTCTTGGCCAGCGCGATGCAACCTTGATTGTCTTGAAAAATCGTCGTCGCGTTCTTGGCACAGTAGTTCAGGTCCTTGAGCAGACCTCGAAGCCAAATTGCTTCCTGCGTCGCGCTGTACAGACTCATGTACTCTGCTTCCGTACTTGAGGTCGCGACCGTTGGTTGACGCTTCGAGTTCCACGATATCACGCTTCCGTTCAGGAAGAAAACGTATCCTGTTGTCGAACGCCGCGTGTCGAGGTCGCCAGCCCAGTTTGCATCCGCAAATCCAATCAGCTCTCCCTTGTTGATGCCGCTGAAAACGATGCTTAAGTCTTGAGTCGTCTTGAGATACTTGAGAATCCGCTTTGCTGCTGTCCAATGCGACTTGTCGTAGCGCTCGCAAAACTTCGCAACTTCGCCAACCGCATGCGCAATGTCCGGTCGTGTACATGTGGCGATGTACATTAAAGCGCCCACCAGCTCACGGTATGGGTACTTTGGTACAAACGCTTCCTCTTGACCCATCTTGATCAGCTTCGAGTTACTGTCCGCCGGCGTGTGCATGTCCTTGCAGTTCTCAACGCCGAACTTCTCCGAAAGTCGCTTGATGTACGCCTTCTGGTTCATCTTGATCGTTCCATCTTCGCGCTTGCGATGAATCTCGATCCCGAGGCAGTACTTGAGATCTCCAAGATCTTTAATGCTGAAATCTTCCATCAATGAGTTCTTGATACTTGCGATGTGCTCCTTCGTCTTGCAGAAAATCATCAAGTCGTCCACGTAGATCACGATGATGCTGTACTCCTCTCTTGTCACTCGAACGAACACACACGGGTCCGCTGTACTGCTCTTGAATCCTTGATCAACCAAGTGCTGACTCAACTTGTTGTTCCACTGCCGCGCCGCTTGCTTCGTCCCGTATAGCGCCTTCTGCAGCAAACACTTCTTATTCGGGCTTCCTTCATCTTCAAAACCGTCAGGTTGGTCCATGTAGATCTCCTCTTCCACTTCGCCGTAGAGAAACGCTGTGTCGACATCAACGTTTTCTGCTTCCAGGTCTTCAGCTGCAGCGATCGCCAACACTGTGTTGATAGATTCCTTGCGCGCCACTGGTGCGAAGGTCTCGTTATAGTCGATGCCAGGACGCTGCGTGAACCCTTTCGCAACCAAGCGTGCCTTGAACTTGATGATCTCGCCACTTGGATCGCGTTTAATCTTGAAGACCCACTTGCAGCCTACGGCCTTCTTGCCCGGTGGCATGTCCACTAGCTTCCATGTGCTGTGTTCTTCAAGCGACTTCATCTCGCTCTTCATTGCCTGGAGCCACTGCTCCTTGTAGCCGCTCTTCATCACTTCTTGATAGCTGGACGCTTGTTCCCCATCTTCTTCAGCCGAGAAACAGTAGAAAGAGTCGAAGTCACCTTCGTAGTCGTCCAAATTGAAGCGACCGCGACGATGGCTTGGAAATTCTTGTTCGTAGCGAACCACGCCGCGCTTCTTTCGAACCGGTCGCACCATCCACTCTTCTTCTCCATTTCTTCCGGGTGTGCTGGATGCGCGCGTAGGAATGGTGTCGCTTGGTCGATCACTTGGTCCGTGATGAGAGCTGTTCTGCGCTCGAAGTGGTGGGGTGCGCAGCTCTTCTTCGGTCACCGGCGCTGGTATGTCTTCATCATCGGGTAGCGACGCCTCCACACTTTCCTCTTCTTCAATGACATCGAAGACCCGCGTGTCTCTGCTTTTCGATGCTTTCGTGACAGAATGCTCAGCGAACGTGACGCTTCTTGAAATCACGATCGAGCCATCGTCCGCGTTGAGAAGCCGATACGCCTTTTGGTCCTTCGCATAGCCGAGAAAGAAACATCGCACGCCTGAGTCGTCCAGCTTCTTCCTCTTCTCCTTCGCCACATGCGCATAGCATTGCGCACCAAACACGCGCATGTGATCGATGCGCGGAACCTTCTTGAACACCATCTCGTGTGGGCTTGAGTTCTTGTTCGACGCGTTCGGCAGAATGTTTCTGATGTCTGCCGCTGTCATTAGTGCCTCGCACCAGTACGACTTGTCGAGACCGCTTTCCTTGAGCATACAGCGCGTCATCTCCACCAGCGTGCGGTTCATCCGCTCCGCCATCCCGTTCTGCTCTGGGTTGTACGAAACCGTGAACTCTTGCTTAATGAACTTTGCCTTGCAAAAGCTGTTCATCGTTTCGTTCCGGTATTCGCCGCCGTTGTCACTTCGCAACACCTTTATCTTCGTTCCAGATGCTGTCTTGACATCTTGGTAAAACCGCTTGAACGCACTCGCAACGTCGCTCTTCTTTCGCAACGGATAGACCGTTACATACCTGCTCTTCATCAGGATGAAGGTTACGGCGTAACTGAAACCAGACTTGGACGCTGGCGTGATAGGTCCGAGAACGTCGGAGCACACCACCACGTCGGAACGCGAACTCTCCCTGGTTTCAGCGTCTTCTTCACTTGTCTTGAATGACTTGCGCACTTGCTTTGACGTTGCGCATACGTCACACGCAACGTTCGTCTTCATCGTTGCGCCCTTGATCCTTCCGTCCTTGACCATGGCATTCAGCGTACCATACGACACGTGACCCAGTCTTCTATGCCATAGCTCTGTATCGTCTTCGGCCATGTGGCACTCCGTACCATAGTCAGCATTGAGATACAGGAGGAACCCCTGCTTCCTTCCTGTTGCGACGGGTTTGCCGCCACGCTTCACCACGCACTCGTTGCGCGTTATCTCCACTGTCATGCCGCGCGCTGCCGCAGCCGTGAGCGAAAACAGGTTCTTGGACAAATCTTGAACGTGAAGTGTGTTCTCAAGGCGAGCGTCGATCCACGCATGCCCTGTCCAGACGCGCAGCTTCACTGTCCCATGTCCAATGACATTCAGCTTCACGTCGCTCTTTGCGCTTGAAATGCTTCGCGCATGATGCACTTCTTCGTACTCTTCGAACGCATCTCGATCCTTGCACATGTGTGCTGACGCGCCACTGTCCATGACCCAGCTGTCGCTCGCGAAACCTTCGCAAGCATTAAACGCGACATTCGACTGGTCATGCTGTTGCTCCCTTGGCCCTCGACCGGAGCGACAATCTCTGGCGTAGTGTCCGACCTTGCCACAGTTGTAGCAGGTCCCTGATGGTCCTTTCGCGCGCCGTCCTTGTTGCTTCTTCGGGTACTGCTTACCCTTCCTCTTGCCTGCGTAGAGCGCCGTTGCATCTTCTACCCGTGCAGCCTCATTCTGG